ATATATATATATATATATATTTTAAAATCGTTCTATGTTACTTATTGATATGAGGTCATCTCCAATCATTTTCAAAATGTTTTAAAAAAAATTATTTATATCGGTTCTGCTTGTTCTTGTTAACATGTATATTCCTATTGTGTGTGTGAGTACTTATAAATTGTAATTGTTCTACATATATATTTTTTTTAAAATTCGTTCTATGTTACTTATTGATATGAGGTCATCTCCAATATTTTCAAAATGTTTAAAAAATATATGCACTTTTTGAGCTTTCAACTTTTTACCATATGGACCTAGTTTTTCTATGGTGTGAACTCTTTTTTTTTTGTTTGAAGGCATGTGTGTGAACTCTTAATTATTTACTCTTTTTTTTAAAGAAGTAAATATACTCGGAAGCAAACAAAATTTTTAGTCATTTTATCTATTAGCCTCACCAAGTATTTTAGTAACCTTTTAACAAAAAAAATACCCAAAATCAATTCTCAAAAAACCCGTAAAACCAATTATTTCAAGATAGATTGCAATACTCATATTTATAATTTTTTTAAATGTAAAACCAATCTTTTCAAGATAAAAAAATGAATACTAAAAAATAAAATAAAGTGTGTTCATTTTTGACGTGAAGGATTACAGGAATACCCTTTCTGTTCAAGCCATGGCTAGAACAGCCTCGTGTCTCAAACTGGAAGAACCCCATTGGTCCAAATTTCCTAGTATGAAAACGATCAAATCAGGCCCTCTGTAGATACATACACCTTCAATTCCGCTTCTCTCACATACATTACAATTACTTAAATAGAACCCCAATTTCTTAATGGGGTTCTGCTCTAATCAAGATTTGGTCAATCTTTCATTATCATATAGGCCTTAGTTCTTCAGCAAGATTTTGTGATTTAATTTGGCCTCTCAAACCAAACTTCCATTGGATTGAATAATGTGGATGAATTGATAATGGGAAGTTTTCTTCGTGGTTTTGTGCTGCCATCTCTGCTCTTATCAGGTGAAGATTTAAACTTTATCTCCTTTACCAAATATTTATTCCAGATTCTTGGTAAACGTACCTAAGTGCTGTGTTATCTTGAATTGACACTCAAGTATAGTTGGATTATGTTGACTTAACATTGATTCATATTTCACAATCTTGAAATTATCTCAACATCCTAATTACTCTATAGCTCTAATTATTAGTTGGAAGATGTTGACTTTGGTGAATACTGTGATCTGCCACCTAGAAATCTTGAACAGTATTTGAAGTAACGGTCATGTTAGGCTTGCGAAATTCAAGTTTACCACGGTCTGTGTATTTGCAGTTTGGAAGTTTAAATTACACGAGCAGCATTAGAGCATATTGTGTAGCACTTTCGGACAGCATGTAATGTTCGAGAACTTACAGAATATTCAGGTCATGTATCTTAGAAAAGAAGTTACTAAGGGGTTTATGAATGCAGCTGTGCAGGGTAGGAGAAGAATGTGGGTTTACTGTATGTAGCCTTCCCATTGCATTTAAGAGGCTATATCCATGTCTCATGCCCGTTATCTATAGGTAAACAAAGGAGCAACACTACCATTTCCCCTCAGCTTAGAAGTGAAATCACGAAAGAGTTAGCGAATCTTTAGAATGTAAAGACATGAATTGTTCAAAAAGCTACGAATTAGGTTTATCGAACGTTTGCTTAGTAGTAATAAATAGGATTAGGACCGACCTTAAGACCTGGTCAATCAGTCACCGTAGAGTATTAATATTCTCCTAAAGACTGCATCATAAGGCCTCAAATTCTGAAATTTTGGGCATATTGATCAGACTAGATGTATCGCAAGCATATCTTCTGTACAGAGCAAGCAGTTTCTGTAATTCTACTACTCTCAAACTTGGTGTGCATTTAAAGCCTCAAATTCTGAAATATTTGGAACCTTGTCTTGCAACTTCGACAAGAAAATCGAGGCTACTATAGCAAATTCATGCATTTTGCGAGCGAGCTATGTGATAAAATATTTAGGAGGTGGTACTTTTTCAGCCACTAGGTAGTTTTATGAATCACGAGTAATATAACTGGAATAAAGTTACAGTAATTCCCTTATCGGAACATTTATACACCTTAATTATTTTAAATCATGTAAAAATTAACCGATGTTAGTTACTTAGATGCCATTCTGGAAATTTTTTATTCAACTCCATTCTTTAGATCCTATAAGTAGAACATTTGTGCAGTGTTAAAAAGCTAGGTGATCTCTTTCCATCTACCTAATCTTTGTGGGTAGATGTACCCGATAACTGTGCAGGTGGGAGGTAGCAGGTACGTGGTGGAATAGTCGAAGTACATGTAAGCTGACCTCAACACCACCATCATAGAAAATTGAACCTTTGTGCAGTGTATAAACATGTCAATTGTTTCGATTCATACATTATTTATGGTTTCAACCAACATGGAAGAAGTATCTATAAGCTAAGTTGCTCGGACACGGGTGCGGATCTAGAGGTCGGATCCTTCGACATATAAATTCTAAGATTCGGGGATACGGATCCTAGTACGGATATGGGTGCGGGGATTCGGCTAAAAATAATTCAAAAAAATAAAAATATAAAAATATCTCTAAGTTATGAGAAATTTTGTGGAATACTTACGTATAGCTTGTGAAGTGTGAATTTTCTTTTTATTCTCAAATTGTAGATAAGTAAAGGATTGATTTACTAGATAAGGTATGCTATTTTTTTTCAAATTTACCCTAGTTATGGTTCTTATTTCGGGAATCAAATTGTATTTCGTCTCGAATTTTTCCGTCCGTCGTGGTCAAACTACCCAAAATTGTTTGACCAGATCCGGTACGGATCCCATTCCCATACCCATACTAGTGTCGTTTCGACACGGGTGCGACACCTAAACTGCCGTGTCGGAGCAACTTAGACTATACGTATTTGATCTTCAATTGAGTTGTAGGCTTCCATTGTGGTATGGTACAAGTACAGTGCCGATCCCCTTGTCAGGGTCCCTAGATCAGGTTTTGTCAATTGTGGTGGCCTGGAAATATCTGGAATAGATAGAGGGACTGCAAATACAGGCCTTAAAGGCCCGGAATTGGGGCATAAATGTTGTAGTTGTACGATTCATAAAGCTGACTCCAAGTATTTTGGAGTTGAGGCATAGTTGTTATTGTTATATCTCATTCTATGCTTGGCATTTTACTTTTCTATTTTTTCCTTTGGCCCAAAAGTAATGTCAAATTAATCCATGATTGAAGTTAGTAGAAAGAGGAAACTCTGGGTACCAGCAAGGTCATAAGATATAATGATTTAGTAAAACTTGTGAACACAAGGAGTAATTGCCCAACTGAATTTCACCACCAAGGATCAAGATAAGAAGGAAGAGAGATTGGCGATGGTAGTTAAATATTGATGACTGCGGTCAATTACGATGAAGGGTTTGAAAAGAGAGCTATCCTAAATGTAATTCAAACATAGTATTTTGTCTGTGTCACTTTCAGAGTCCTTTCTTGTTTCTGCTATTGAATAAGTAAACTATTTTTGTTGGGCAAAAAATGGGCGAAGCCCATATGCAACAGGTATACAGTAGTCAAGGTTTTTGGTTCTTGATTATTTTAGTATTTGAGAGCTGGTCCTCCATGTTGTAACTCTCTACTATTACCCTCTAATGAAATTTTCTTTTTCTATAGAAGTTATCTCATTTATGTTTTCAATTTCATATTAATAAGTCTGACACAATATAGAGTAAAGTCACTGATTAGAAAACCGTCAGTCTTCATAGTTTTGGTGTAACATATGTCCCTTTTGTGGGAATTCTTCTGTAACTTACCTGACAAAGGTTCTTCTGTGACTGAACCTATCTTATCTCTGCCGTCTCTATGCAGCTGGTTTACTCAATTGGAGTTTGATTTCTCTTGTCAATTTGGTGTCTTCTCTTCTTCTGCGATTTACTGCACCAAAAAGAGGTAAAGTTGCTTTTGCAAGATTCGCTTTTCCTAATTTTAGCCTTGATTAGGGATGCATTTCAAAGGTAAAATTTCCTTCTCTTCATGCTATCTTAAATTTTTTGATAATTGGTCAGTGTTTTTTGGCAACATCTAGATGAGTCATTATGTTCACTTTCTGCACAAGCACCTGACCCCTTTTGAAGGATGGCCAAATTGGATAATGGTGCAGAAGTATATGACATCTAATCCAATTATCCGAATGTGCATTTGTTATTTGAATACATCGAAACAGCATTAGCAATATGAATCTCTCTCTCCCCTCCCTCTCTGCGCCCCCCTCTCCCCCTTTTTACACATATTTTATTACTCATAAATGTTTTTGATTTATGTAGGATTCCGTTTCAAAGGGAGAGTTCTGTTGTGGTTTGTTTTTCTATTTTCAGTTCTTACTATTCTGCTGGAAGTGGTTTTTCTTATTGTAT